TTCTCTGCCACAACCCTCCAATCCTTTCTTTCCATTTGAAATGTGTTGCAGATAGTACCTGTAGTTACCACTTAGTGTAGCTGGAAGTTTCTCAGTGAGAGAGCTCTTTGGTTTCAGTCCTGGTTGGGGCAGAGGTGCTCAGGCAGTTTTGCTGAAAAGGAGCTAAGAAGGCATTTCTACTTGCCTTCTCTGCTGCAGGCCAGTGAAACACCACCCATTTTGGAAGTGAACTACTTTCAAACTTTTTTAATGATATAATGTGAATGTACTTAAAGCTTTCTTCTTCCCACACGTGTGCTGGATTATTTCTGCTATGGTCTGTGTGTTGTGAGCAGAGCCTACCTGGCCTCAACCAAGAGATTTTTCCAGGGTTCATCAGAACTGTTTGAGAAATGTTAACTTATCTTTATGGTCAGCATCAATAGTGTAGGTGATGAAACTTCATGGAGGAATCTCTGCCTGGAGGCACAAGGCTCAAGCCTAAAGGCTCTGACTAAGAGGATTTTAGGAGATTGGAAGTAGTTTGATGCTGGGCTGTGGTTTTTGTCAGCTAAAAACATTGGATGGCATCTCTGAAAGTTCTCTGCGTGGCTTAAGGTAGCTCTCTGGCAGAGTTGTAACTGCAGCTTTTGCCTCTTTATTTGCACAGACAACAATAAAGTATGACACAACTGATGGATATCCTTAGTACAGGAGAAAATAAGTGTATTTTCAGTGGTAGTAGAACAGGAAAGTAGGTATTTGTGGAGAGTTTTGGGGCAACAGCAGCATGTACTTTCCATGTGGTGCTCTGTGCCTTAGATGCCCACCAGCCCCTGACCACCTTGATTTTGAATTGCTGTCCAGTTTACTGCTGACCACCAGTAGGGCCTTCTAGTTTCCAGGAGAAGCTGTTTCGTGATTCATACTAAGAGACACTTATTTCCACAGTGCTGCTATCTTGAGTATTAGGGCATGCCCATCCCTTAACATATAAGGCAGGATTGTATCAAGTCTGGTCAGGTCACGAAGAGTGCACTGGCACTGTTGTTGCCTTAAATATTGAATAGTTGAGGCTGCTAGATGACTTTAAAATAGGAGTTAATGCCTTAACCAGTCTTTAATGCAGGAAGTTTGGAGAACACTGCTGTAATTGCAACTGACCTAACAGAAGTTCTTGTTCAACCTGCTTTCTTAGCTTCCTTTCTTCCTCAGTCTTCTGATTAAACTTTTATACTGTCAAGGAGTTGGGAGGGTAAGCTGTTGCTGGGAGAAGTGGCTGTTGATCTGAGTTCATGGGATTAAAAACTGAGCGAGTACTGGGTTGAGACCGTGTATTTATATCCCTGTGAGGAGCTTGTGCAATGCTGTGAACTGTCAGCTCACACTGAAAAATAGTTTTGGGCAACTGTGCCTGTGTACGTAACTCCTCGGTTGTGCTTATTGTAGCAGAGAGATTCTTGGAGACCAGACTGGCTTTCTTTTTTCCTCGCACTTCAAGCCAAAAACCTTCACATGCTAGACTTTTTCTTGGTTGTAATGCATGCTGTCTCATGGTGCAGCTATGCTGCTATATCTTACATGTAACTCGTGAAAAACTTCATGGCTGAAAATGAAATGCAGAGACCTCTTTTTGAATCAGAATCTTCATAGATGTTATGAGATTTGTTCCTGTGCTTTGTGTCATCACGCTCAAAATGGAGAACAAATGGCAACAATAAAAGAAAAAAAAACAGAAAAGATTATAGTACTGTAAGTTCTAAATATTGTCTGCTGCTAACAGGAGAAAGAACCATACTCAGTAACGTTAAACTGCTCTGAAGCTGAAATGGAATGATTTTTCTTTCTCCTAGAAGGTGTGAAGTGGTACTTTTTCTGTCAAAATGAGCTCTACTGAGCTGACAGTATGGCTGTGTATGTGCAAGTTTCCAAGATGATGAGGGAAACCTTATCAATTACATCAGGTTGCTTTTCTTTCCCTTTCCTCCTTTTCTTTTAGGTTGATTTATATCAGTTACAAGTGAACACACTTCGAAGGTACAAAAGACACTTCAAGCTACAGACCAGACCGGGACTTAACAAAGCACAGCTTGTTGAAGTACGTATGAGTGTTTATTCCATAATAGAAAATGCAATTCACCGTGGCATGCGTTGTGTTGGCTTTTTTGCTGTACAATTTGATCATTGCATGAAGCGCATATATAATCTGGGTTTTAAGAGAGCAAAAAGGAGCTGCTTATCTAGCTTCCTTCACTGCCACATCTCCTGAGCCAAGTAAAGCAGAAGTAAGAGCCCTTTGCAGAGAAGGGACTCTTAACTTTCAGAAGTGTGTGTGTGCTCCTTGAAAACAGTGAGCTGAACAGTGAGGTGACCTGTGCATTTTGGATGTCATAGAACCATGGATTTCTTACCTGTGCATCAGCCACACCTTCAGCTTAAGTATCCTACTGATGATAACTAGAAATTGAGAGGTAGCAGTGAAGTTCTAGTAAGTAAGATCATGCTTGGCTTTAAAAAAAAACGATTGATATAGGCATCTGTTCATACATAGAAAGTGCAGAAACCTGAAAAAGTTTTCTATTGATCATTAATCTCGTTTAAAAACTGCGCATCTATTATCACAAAATAGAAGTTCATGAAATTCTTTTTTTATTATCAATACTTCTAAAAGCACTTAAGCTATATTTGAGTGCAGATGTATGCATTTCTTCTGTATGGGAGTGCAATTTGAAAGTGCTTCTTTTGCACTGCAAGGGCACAAATATGCGACAGCACTGGTGATCATTTCAGCAGGGAGGGATAGCTGCCACCTTTTCATTGTTGTGCTGTAATGCTCAGTTGTACTTCAGTGCAGACATTTTGTTGATCTCTCTACTAATTAGCGCAGATTAATGCCAAGGTTATTAAATGTGTGAGAGCTCTCCAGGGCTAAGCTGTAGAAGAAATACAATGCTGCTGCCTCTACAGTTAAGTATTTTCAATAATTCTTCTTTTTTAATGTGAGAGTTGATGCACGGATGCATCCAGTTCTTGAATTAGCAGAACTGATTTGAAAAAGCGCAAAAACTTTTGTTCTGTAGAACTGGCATTTCTAAGGGTCTGCTTTAGGTACATCTCATGAGATGCTTCCAGTAACTTATGTTTCATGTGCTGCTCCGTGTGAACAGGCAAAGCTTCTGTCACATGCTTTGTTTGATTGACCTAAAGGTCCATGTGAGCCGTAGCTGCAGAATTTACTGTCATTTACAGTGCATATGATTTCTTGTTACTTGTCTGAATGTACAAGGGATTTTCTGCTAGCCTTTACTTATAAGTCCAATTTAAAGGGCTCTGTCAAACTGTTTCTGTTTAGTTTTCTTTTTTTTTTTTTCCCAGGGTATGTTTTGAAAAGCTTTCTAACTTGCTAATTATATTAAGTATTTTATGCTTGTGCCTTGTGGTAGATCAATGGTAGATCAATTTCTCACTTCCTCTTGCTAATTTTAGTCCAAAAAAAGTATTCTGCAAAAAGCTGGAAAACAGACTGGGGCAGTCAGTCCATCTGAGTATTTCCTTATAAAACTGACAGTCCTTTGTGCTGAAGGGACAAAAACTTCGAGCTTCAGCTTTAGTGACTGTAGAAGTTGACATAATTAGCATGTACAGCATTGTGAATTTTTGTCATTGACACCCCTGTTTCAAAGAGCTAAATCTTCATGCTCTGTCTTAAATTCTCATATTTGGGTCTTCCTTTTTTTTGTACACAACTTGATACAGACCTCCTTCAGCCTGAGTAATGAGCAGTAGCTCATTTGTGTGCCATAGGTTCGTGATAGTCTGCAGATGTTATATGCTCTGTGTTCAAGGAGTGACTGCACAGATGTAAAGATACTCATGCTTGTTGGGAGAAATCTTTTCTTTTCTGATAATTTTCTGGGCATTTTACTTGAGAAATTGTGCTGTATTTGTTTCAGATTACTCAATGATAGCAGTTCCTTTCATACTTTATGTATGATACTGAAGATTTTCAAAGGGAGGCAGGGTTTCCTTTATCCTAAGTTGCTTGATCAAGCTTTTAATGTAGTTATATAAAGTTTCTGCATATAAAGTGTTTAATTTCCTTGCGTTCTTCCTTTGTAGATAATTGGCTGCCATTTTAGGACAATTCCAGTGAATGAAAAGGACACCTTAGCGTATTTCATCTACTCGGTCAAGAATGACAAGAACAAACCAGACCTAAAGATGGATAGCAGTGTTCATTAGGCAGGGAAGACTGGGACTGAGACTCAGGCCACAAATCAAAAGACTGAGGGTTTTTGTTGATATGCAAAAGCTTTCTTTGTAACTTTTTGTCCCCAGAGAGTTTCTCTGTTTTATTTTTTCATAACCTTGATGATTTGAGAACCATCTCTTATGAAACAAATTTCCTCACAAACTATTTTAAATAAATAATACTGATACTGTTGCTCAAGTGGGTGTGTCTAACTTATTCAGCGTGTTACTTGTGCTTAGTAGTTAAGCTTTGACTACCTATGTAATGGTATAAAAATATTCTTCAATTAAAGTGTACCAAGGATACATTTATGAATGTACTTCAAGCTCTCGCAATGCAGTGCTGTCTTGAAAAGAAAAGAAAAAAAACAGAACAAGCAAAAATCCCTGAATTGTGGTAGATTTTGCAGTGGGCTCTTTTTCGTGAGGTTAAAGGCTTTAATTGACAGTTGCAGTTATTAGCTGGGCAGAAATGACTGATTTGGTATTTTCTATTAGGCATGCTATTTCTTGTTCACTGCGTGCATTAACTCAGACCTGTTTAAAAACAACACACTAAAAGTAAGACGAGCAAAATATTATTTTAATTTGGTATCTTAGTAAAGTCTGTGATGTTAAAGACAGTGTTATGTATGATTTCTTGTATTTTCACTGTTAGCTTTGTGTTAATCTAAACATGTGGTACATGAAACGTGATCTTGAAACATGATTTCCTTTTGCTTTAAGCTGTGTGCATTGGCTGAAGAAAAGGCAGGAGAAAAAGCTTAAAGAAGAGGAAGACACAGCTTTAGTTTATTCAGTTAGCATTCATTGCAGCTTCTGACCTTAGCAGGTTTTCAAAAGCTCTTTTTCAAATGTGCTGAAAAATGAGAAAGTGGTATTTCTGTGCTCTAATCTGCTAGTGTTAGCCTTGTGATTTTTTTTTTGAAAGACATCACTGCGACCAAGATACTCCATTTTGCTCTTTGACTTGTGGCACTCCATTGCTTAAAACTGAATGATAATGAACCCAAAACTCAAACTGGCTTCCTTCTCAGGAGCTATAAGTACCCTAATTTCTTTAACTTACAGTGTCATATATCTTTCCACGCTAGGGTTTTGCACTGTTGGCCAAACTTGAAGCTGGTTGGTGATACCAGGCTGGTGCAGGGTAAAGCTGGTAATTCTTTGGGAAGATGTTTCGGTACTCATTTCATGGCAGTGGCTGTAAAGTTGTTTATGAAGTATCCTTTGCACGAGTTACATTTGTTATCTACACAGCATTAGTTGGAGAGGCAGCCGGGGAACCCAGTGCTGAATTGAACATCTGAAGGATAAAGGCTTTTTCTTTCTCATAGGATGGCGAACAGGGATGGATGTTCCTGCATAGATTTGGCAGGGGCTGTAGAAGTTTTTTCTGGAGGGGAGGAGAGTGAGGAGAGAAACCAAGAACGAGCTTATATTGGAAGTAGGTCTGTGGCCCTATGCTGCTGCATGTAGGAAGTGGCAAAACTTTTTTTTTCATCAGATTATGTATTTTTCCACATCAATAATGGTAAAAGGGAAGTAACTGAAAATCATCTACTGACTTTACTACCCACCTCTGCATCTGCCTTATTTTTGTAGCTGTTGCGCTGGAAAGCTGTGAATGGCAGATATACACTACCTGATTGGCAAGGAAAGTAGATGGCACAACCCACAGAAACTACATGTCCTCACTGCTACTAGAAGCTTATGGAGGACTTTGCAGTCCCCCTTAAAGTGGATACTGTATGTTTTCTTAGTAGAACACTGAATTTGGTAATTTTGACAGTGAATTGCCAGATTCTCCACCTTCTATTGTCCTTCATTGATTATTTTATTAGAAGCCCAAATGACTCAGGAGTAATTATATGAACCAGGCTTTAAAAGCATGATGGTACAAACTTTTGTTTCAATAGTCTAAAAATTACTTGGCAAAAATAGTAAATGCAGATTTACTTGAAACTCTTACTATTGGTTATGTATAATTAACCTACCACTGCACATATCTAAGCATTATTTACTAACAGATGAAGTGAAACAGTCTTTGTGCTATTTCATGTTCATATGTGAAATAACTTTGGTGTGCTGATGGTAGCAGTTTCCACAGTGTGGTGTTGTAAGGTTATTATCACAGAGTCAAGGTTGGAAAAGACCTCTAAGATTGCCTAGTCCAACCATCAACCCATCCCCACTGCTCCCAGTAACTATGTCCCTAGGTGAGCAGAGCACTAGTTCAAGGGGCAAGACAGTTACATTTGTACTACATGTTCCATGTTACTGTCCCATTCTCCTTCTAAGTCTTTCTGAATATACATATATATGTTCTATCACTGCTGTTATTAGTGTTTTGAAAGCTCAATCTTTAACACTTCAAGACTTCAGATGCAGTTAACGAGTTAGACATAATTATCACTTACACCTACCTTAGTACTATTAATATGAATTTTGACTCTTTTTTTTCCAGTGGAATTTTCAAATATGGGTAATGCAAATTAATGGTTTCTGTTTTTTGCAGGCACCCAAATAGAAGTGAGAGTGTGCAGAAGTGCCAGATACTGACTAGCATTGCCTTAAAGCAGTGCTAACAATAAAGCAATAGGAAGCTGCACTGCTGCAGTGGATTCCAGCAAGAGTCACTCTTAGCCACATGAAGGCTTAACCTTGATGTTTCTTTTTGAAAATTAGTTGAGAATGTTGCAGTTATTAAAAGGATACACTCGCACGCATATGTTTATATATTTTTTGCTAGGAGATAAATGCAGGGACAATTTGAGCAGGTACAGTCTTTCACATCCATATGGAGCTAATTAAGGCAGCTACCATATCCAGAAGGAGAAATTTTTACATATTTCACAAAGCATAGAGAGGAAGTTTTTTTTTTCCAGCAGGAAGATAGTTTCTACAGTGTGCTTAGAGAGGAAATTTCTTTTGTTTTGGCTGTTGCTGGCTTTGTTTTTTCTCTTGAAAGCGTATTTTGTGATTGTGGAATGATGCCCGTTGTCCTCAGTGACAGGCTGTGTTGATCACTCGCTGTTACAGGGAATCACAAAAGATATCTTCGATCCAAAGAAAATCTCCCTGAAACATATTAGATACTTAAATAATTATGAGAGCTTTAACATGTTATGCATTTCCAGGGCTGTTTTTTTTCTCCAGGTTTTGCTAGGATGTGTGTGTGATCGCTGTGTTTATGGGATGCCCTTCCAGCAATGCAAATGCAGCTGCAGGTCTGTATGAGAGCACTGTATATTTTTCCTCTGCTCGCCTGTTTCAGAAACATCAGCAAAATTTTCATTGACTGAGCAGTGTGCCAGAGTTCTAGCATGGTGTTGTAGCTTTGGGAGGGTAAAGCTTATCAAATATTTGATATTATTAAAAAAAAATAATAATTCTGGTGTGTGTACGCATACTATTTAGCACAGTTAGTTCTACGGGCAGACCTACGGAGTAGATATTCTTTATATCAAGGTGGGTGAAGAAAGACCTCCCTATGTATTTATATCCAAGTAAGAGGCTTTCTGGAGCTGTTCAAAGCTCTGTGGTTAAAGCTGAAAACCTGAAGTGTTTTCACTGTGAGGGCACGGTATGTGGTGAAACAATTACTTACACCCTGCTCTCTGTTTGAATGTGAAGTTCCTATTTTTAGGAGTCACTGCCACTTGGCTCAAATTCATTCCTGTACAAGAATGCTGCAATTTGCCTTTTGGATTTTAGGGGACTTGACAATGTTGGACAAGAGGAGCTTGTATGAAAGTCATTTCTGCTTGTCTATGTAAAGCTATCACGTTATAATGTCCCTAAACTATTAGTAAGTTGTCAAGTTGATGTTTTATCTAAATTTCCTGGGGAAAGCTGCACATTCTTTGTGTAAAACAGCGAATACCCCACATTTCATGAGAATTTTGCTGTCCTGCTCTTGTCAGCCAGCAGGAGAAATCAACTAAATCTTTTTCTCCCTTGCAGGCATTCGTGGACCTGTTCTCCCTGCATTTGCTTTACTGCTCTAAGCAGCTGTCTTTAAAGAATCGTTTATTGGGTTGACACATCTGCACATGCCTTAGAGTAGCATCGTAGCCCTCTGTTGTGTAACAGATATCAAATGGCTTTGTTGATGGTCCTGAAAACATTTTCATTGCAAAGTGCTGCAACTAAGGATCTGTAGTTCTCAGACTGAACTTAGATCAAAGTTACTGGCAAAAAAAGTTAGAAGTTGGATAATTTAAATGCCAAATTCCCCTGTGTTGGGATGTGCAGGTTTGCAAAGTGTGCTGAGCATGTCCCCGGTGAGGCTCTGAAAAACAAACGTTGAAAACTGTCAGTGTGTCAGGTAATCGGATACGTCTTGATACATTTTCAAGCTACCCGAAGAGATACACTTCCCTAAAATGGTACCCTATTCCAGCAGTGGAAACTGAGAAATAGTAGAAATACAAGTGGCTGTACAGAACCCTTGCAGTTTCTATGCAGTCAGAGTAATCTTTGGTCGAACAAGGGGGAATAGTTTTAAACTGAGACGGGAAGTTTAGGTTACATATTAGGAGGAAGTTTTTCACTAGAGAGTGGTGATGTACTGGAACAGGTTGCCCAAGGAGGTTGTGGATGCCCCATCCCTGGAGGTATTCAAGGCCAGGCTGGATGTGGCTCTGGGCAGCCTGGTCTGGGGTTGGCAATCCTGCACACAGCAAGGAAGTTGAAACTAGATGACCTTTGAGGGCCTTTTCAACCCAGGCCATTCTATGAATCTTACTTTGGACAGCAGAGCAGTTCCTTGAAGTTGCAGTAACAGATGGTCTCGCAGCCTTCTCCTTCCCAAAAGTGATCCTGCAGGTTGTCATCAACTTGCCGGAGGCTCACCATGCCTTCGGGAATGCTGTGACAGCTGTGGTCATGCAGGACCCTCTTGTAGCATTTGGGCCGCCGGGGGGGCACTGTGTGGGCACCCAGGAGGGCACTCAGCAGAAGCAGAACTGAGAGCATCTTCATTTTTTGAAAGTTTCCTGTGCAACGGTGTTAAATAGAAATGAGATACGTGACATGGATACAGCTGTTGGCTGGATCTCTTTCCCCAGTCTGCTTTCTATCTTATATTTTTCTGTCTTTCCTGTGAACTTATGGAAGCTTTGAGTGTCTGCGTTGGAGGGTGTTTTCTCCTAGGAGGTAAATAAGATTGCCGTGGAATTGATATTCATTACTTTCTGTACAACCACAGGAATCCTATCGCTGGGAACTGAGCTTCTGTTGCTGACAATTTTGTTATTACTTGCCCTCTCACCTTGAGAAAATTGCTCTGAGTTGGCCGTGTGCTCTCAGCGATGTGAGTGAACACACTGCTGGCTACCAAGGCAGTGAGTCTCATTGTTTTCCAGGTGATTTTGGCTGGTTGAGAATGTTGAAATGAGTCACTAATTTAACACTAGTTGTATGTTTCCCCGTAAAAAAAAATATGAGCATTCCTAGTTCTAACTGTGGTAACATCTAGAAAGGTTTTGTTGTCTTTCATTCAGTTGGCACATAGTTGATCCCTTTATGCTGCCACTGCAGACTTCTAGGCTGTTACATGTGGGCACAGGATAGGGTATTCTAAACTAACCTGGACATAATTAGCAATAAAACACCCTCTGAGCAAAGACCATAACAAATGCCAAGTTCAAGTGCCATAGCTTTTATCTAGATAAGAAAAAAATAGGGCATGACAGGCATAGAGGTCACTCAGATAATTGAGTTGTGCTTGTATTATTTTGTGGAACACTTGAGTCGCTCTTGAAAAACAAACAAAAAAAAACCTATTAAACGTATACATTTACTGTACTTACAGTATTTTTTTCCTATGTAGGTTCTTAACTACCATAGCTATCTTGCTGATATTCTGTTTCTTCAGATAATGAATGGCAGACAACTTAAGAAGTCTGGCAATTTGAGTTCATGTTGGGGATCAAATGCTACACTGATGCTCTTCAATTATATTTTCCATAAGATTTTGTGCAAATTTTTAACATCACTGACCCAACAAAGTGTTAAAAATCGGCTAATAGGTTAAGGAATATGATTACAATGATAATAAACTCTTGTGTATTTTCAAACTTCCATCGTAGGAACAAAATTAATTGAACAGTTCCTTCTGGTTTCTGTGAACTTGTACATGAACTTCTGAGTAGTAGACTCCTATAAAATACTGGTAATGGAGCCTTGGGGATCTATTTTTAAATTGCCTTAGAGTGCAGTATTGAATAACTCTCTGTCTTTATTAGTTTTAGGCCTCAAAACCACTTCTCAAATAAAGTAAAAATTGTTCAAACTTTGTCTGATGTTTCAAGTAAAGAATCTGCATTGTTATACTAATAACTTTGTTTTGTAGTAGAAATACTGCAGTTACAAGGGTTCTGCTCAGAGGTTTGTAATGCTCAAAGAAGTTTGTGCTGTACCTCGGTAAACATCAGCGTAGAGGAATACAGTTTAACATTTTTCTGTTCAAATAATTGAACTTCGTTATGTAAGTATTTAATGGAAGAAGCGTTCCATGAAATTTAGGAAACAGATGAGGTTTTTGTCTTTGTTTTCTGTGGTTGGATTATTCTGTGAGTTGCTCCCCTGAGAACAAGGCATTTGTAATATCTTGTGCACGTTTTTTGTACTTAATTTGAATGAGTTTTCCCTAAATGGAGTTTAGTTGGAATTCTCATTTCAATCTGTTGCCAGCTGCCGATCTGCTCTAAATTAATAGGAACACATTCTGTCCCAAAAACTGACAGATTTTCTGCAGGCTGTCAAATTGCTGGATTCAAGAATCGTGATCTACAGCTGAGGATAACTCAGTGTTCACTTTGGAGTACAGGAAGGTGTTGCTATAGAGCATCATTGAGAATCGATATGGATGGCTGCCAAAAGTGGTATTAGCAAAGTCATGTGCCAGCATGCTGTGGATAGTCAGCTTTGCTCACAGGCTGGTTATGCATCTTGCCTAATCAGTACTGCTGCTTTTCAGAACAGTACTTTATTAAAATCATTGTTGTTTGTTTTTTTTTTTTTTTTTTTTTTTTCCTGAATACTTCCTGTTTCTTTGTGGTTAGTAACTGAAAGGAAACTTTCAGTTAGGAGACCTTTCTTCAAAAGATTGGTCATTTGCTGTAAAAGGATGGTGCCTATTTGCAGGGAAAGATTGCTCAGGTGTTTCAGCAGTTCCCTGCACAGGGTCAGTGGTGATAAACCTGGCAGACCTTTCAGATGCAGAATCTTCTGTTTCCTGACAAACTGCTGGGAATTCTTCCAAAGGCAATGATGGAATATCACTTGATTGCTTAGGAAAACAGCAGAGCTAGAAAGTGCATATTTACATCAAAATGTGTGTCAGAGATCTTATCTACCTTTGCTTAGCATGGAAACAGTCTTCTCTGGTAAAACAAATCAGGGAAATTGAACAAATCCGATCTCCAAAGTGACGCAAAGAATCATTGCCAGCAAATGGTGTTAGATTTATGTAAAGCCTTTGAAAAAGCAGCAGTGCCAGCCATGCTAAGCATGACCAGATTGCTCTATCAAGACCATATCACTTCCAGTTCTAACAGAGGAGTTAAGCCATGTACAAATATTTAAAATGAGCTCCTGGCAGTTGCAGAAATCCAATTTAAGGAGTTAACTCCCTGGTTACTTTGGTACAATGTAAGTAAAGTTCAGGGAAGAAGTTCAGCTGGACAAACAAATGCTTTGGAAGACTTAGAGTTTTGCATGGTGCAAAATTAGTTTCATTGGAGCATATGTGCTGTGATTCAGGAATTACTGTTATCCCTGCTCATTCAGCAGAGAACATCTGAATTGTTCTGACAAGCAATTTGGCACCATCTCATAGTTAGAGAAAGACCAAATAAACAAAAAAACCAACCACGTTTCAGCATCCCGATCTGTGAATTAAAGGATAATATTTCATGAAGATAGTGATGCTCTTTGAAGTTCCTGTATTACTGCTGGGAATTCTGGTGTGAGCAGTAGGAGACAGAAACAGGGAAAACTGAGGAATTGCTCAAAAATATGTGTCATAATGTATCTAGGAGATCCTACAGGATTAGGAAAAGATGCATGTTTACAAGTTTTGTCTCTTAACTGTACTTTTCAGAGTTGTTATGTTTTTCTGTGCATCTCCAGTTGCCTAATCCTAAAAATCAGCAGTATGCTTATCTGATACTGATGTGGTGTATGATCTTTACCAGTCAGTTCAGTGATGTGCTGGGTTAGCAAGCTGGCTGACTGTGCCTTAAAAAATGAAGCAAATGTTATTTTCTATATGTATTATATGTATACATCACACTCTCTTTGTGTGTGGAGTTCAAGAGCTAAAAGCACCCACTTGCAATTAAATGCCCTTTAATCATCTTTTATTTGTCAGGTTATCTTTCAGAAACACCTGTGATTCCTGGCTTCAACCTGAAAAAAACAGAATCTAACATAGAATATTTCAGTGTTAGTGCATTATAGGAAGGCTTATTAGTACATTCCTAAGAAATCATTACAAAAGAACTGCATAACTGATATTATTATGAGGAACTTTCTTCCATAAAAAAGTACTCAAATCTGTTTTGCTTGAACAGTTGGTACATTGTGAGGACTGCAGCTATTCCACTGAGGATGAATTCGGTGAATTGCTGCTTTATAATTCCCATCAATACCATGATTCTTTCCAGAAATTGAGTTCTCATTAAAATCTATTTAGTTCTCTTAAAGTCAGCAATTTGTTGTGAGTGCACCTCTCTCTGCATTTACCAACTTTGCAATAATACTAAGTACAGGAAAGCAACATAGCACGTTTAATGGCTTTGGATGTTAATATCTAACATTCAGCCTATCTAACATTTGGATGTTAATATCTAACATGAAGAAGAGCAAGATAGGAAAGAAGGATCTTTAGCTGGATTATACCCACACATTTGTCTCAATTAACATATTTTGCCTACAGTGTATCTGATCTCCCCAAATCATCTTCTGTATGTTCCCACATAATTTCTAATTCTGCAGTCTTTAACTAGCAGCAGAAGAACATGTGAGCAGGGATAATTTCAGGAACTAGACGTACCTTTTTCTTCTGCTTCTCTTCTTTTCACTTTCTTAGCAGTATCTTTTCAGATGTACACAGAGCTAGAGCTGGAGGGGATGAGCAGAGGGAGGGCTGACAGAGGTGCTGGACAAACAGCCTTTTGTCCGGCCTGGCTTCTGTCTGTGAGTGACACGCTCCCTGCTCCAGAGAGGGGCAGAGGATGGGCTTCAAGAACTGCCTCTTTCAGACACTGCCAACCTTGATGAGGGAAAGAATAGAGGGTGCATCCCTTCCAGCAGGAAGCATTTCATCCATCCAGGACCTGATGGCAAGGTGTCTCCTCAAGTGAGCAAACCACAACACTCAGAATGAATGGAGGAAGTGCCCTGTGGAATACGTGCCCTGCTGTGCCACCCGAGCGGGGCTGTGCTGAGCAGGGCATGCAGCCAGCCAGCAGGCTTGTGTAATCCTTGCCTTTGAAATTCTGTTTTTTCAGACTGAAAGAATGGAGAATTGTAATTATTTTAGCCAGATTCTTGTATGACCTACAATATGACACCGTGCATTGAGTTCATCACTGGCCAATGTTTAATCAAGAGGTAAAGGGTTACACTGAACAGTATTTCAGAGGAAATTATATTAGACTAATGTAACTATTCAAGTAATCCGATACAATGTGTGTGATAAAAACACACAAATTGAGGTCCTTGAATAGATCTGAAGTATTAATAAGAAAACAATCTCTGGGCTGAACTCTGGGACTTGGTCAGTGTCCTTACATGTATCTTGCAGTTTGGGTCCCTCTTTTGTTCTGGTCATCCTGTCTCTATTTCCTCATGTGGATAGGGAAGTACAGTTCTACCTTAGATTTTGATCTGTAGTTTTTTACATTTTCTAGTATCTAGTGCATCATTTTGGTTCTCCCATGTCTTTGTAAGGACTTGTAGTTCTATATCTTGTTGGGCAGCTTCCCATGCAGAAGTTTGTTACTAGTGCGAATAGGTACCTCTGCTCAGCTGCTCCAGTTTACAGTTTAATGTCTTGATGCTGTGATGCTTGTAGCTCCTACACCTGAATGTCTCCTCTGGCAGGAGCATAAGAAGGGAGCAGGATGTGTGCTTGTACCTCTGCAGGGTGCCTTTCCCTTTTCAGCATGATGAGATAGATGCCTTGCACTGTTTTTCTACAGTAATTCCAGTGTGGATCCTAGCTCTTGCTGTTTGTGCTCTAAATGAGATTATTCTGATGCCTCTGTGAAGTCATTGTGTCTCAGTTGCTGGGAAGGACCTGCTTGAACAGCAGACAAGCACTCTGAGGATGGGTCACTTTGTCCATAAAATGGAGTGAGTGGGGAGATCATTCTTCTGAAAGCATTCTGTTGTGCTTTGAGAAGAGACTGTTCTAACAAAAATACTGTTTTGATGGTGCATTGGTGCTCCTCCCTGCCCCTGCTCTATAGGTCTATGTTTGATGTCTCCAGTCATTGCGAACATTCAGGGACAGGAGGAAATTTTCTCCCTTGTAGTGCTTCGTAGTATAGAAGCTCCCTCGTAGTATAGAAGTGGGAAGTAAATGTTTTAAGGAATCTAGGGGGTAAGATGCAACCAAAGGCTACGTTGGCTGATGTAGGAACAGCTATCTGAGGTGTGAAAATTGAGATAGGTAGCTTATAGGAAAATGCATTGAAGGATGGGGCAGCCTCTGATGCTGGTGGCCTTGAAGAGAGCAAAGTGCAAAGCAGTGCTTGCAGGTCTAACTTCTTTCTCATTTTTTCATTAATTTGTTGCCCCAACTATGTTTCTATACTAAATCTATCTCATTTCCTGTAGGACTGTCAAGTTAGCTTAGTTGACTGTTAAATTCAACAAGACCAAGTGCTGGGTCCTGCACTTTAGCCACAGCAGCCCCAGGCAACCCTAGAGGCAGAGTAACTAGAAGATTGTGCAGAGGAAAAGGGCCTAGATGTTTTGATTGATACTCAGCCAAAAATGAGCCAGCAGCGTGCCCAAGTGTCCAGGAAGGCCAATGGCATCCTGGCTTGTAACAGCAGGAGCAAGGAGGTGATCATCCCTCTATACTCAGCTCTGATGAGGCCACAGCTTAAGTGCTCAAGTGCAGTGTTATGGATCCCTCACTACAAGAAAGACATTGAGACCCTGCAGTGTGCCCAGGGAAGGGCAGTGAAACTGCTGAGGGGTTGAAGCACAAGTCTTATGGAGAGCAGGAACTGGGACTGTTTGGTCTGGAGGAGGCTCAGGGCTGATCTTATCACTCTCTACAACTCCCTGAAAGGAGGTTGTGTTGAGGTGGAGGTCGGCTTCTTCTCTCAGGTAACTAGCAATAGGACTAGTGAAGGGAATGGCTTCAAGTTGCACCAGGAGAGATTAAAGTTGGATATTAGGAAAAACTTATAGAAAGAGTGGCACTGAAACGAGCTGCTCACAGAGCTGATTGGGTCACTCGTCCCTGGAGGTATACAAGAAAAGCTTAGATGTGGTGCTAACGTGCATGGTTTAATGGGAAATTTTGGTTGTAGGTACACAGTTGTACTGGTTGATCCTGGAAGTCTTTTCCAACCTTAATGATTCTATGATTCTGTTTCTGGCCCTGGTGTCCCTTTGGTAGTGTGGTGAGATTTGCCAACTTTAATTCCTCCTGTCTTTTTTTGTCTCATTTCTGAGTTGCCTTGCTCACGCTGCTGATGGGATGCCAACAATGGCAGAGAAGTGTTGAAAATTGCTGAGTTTTTTTATTCCCCGTGATGGCACCTGGTAGCTGCAAGAGAACTTTAGGGTGAGCTTGCTTTCCCATCTTCCTTGATCTGTGTCTACACGGGATGGAGAGGATCATTATGAATCCCATTAAACTCGTATCTAGAGACCTTTTATTTGTTTGCCTGCTGATCCCTGTTCTTGTCTGAAGAGATACGGTAAGATACGAAGTACAGCTGTTTGGAGGGGACAGAGAAGTGGTAGAAGCAATGGTCCATAGGAGAGGAGGACAGCGTCCCCTGGTAGAGTGAGAAGGAAGAACAAAAAGGCAGAATTGACATTCAGCTGCAAATGAGTGGCAGTCTCTGGTATATAATGTTACTCTACACTGAATTTGTGTAACATGCCCTTGGGAAAATAATCTTTGCTTTTTTAAGAACTCAGCATTCTGCATATACTTCACATTTTTAATGCAGGCCATGCAAGTTTAACTTTTTTCTGTAAGCACAAATCGATTTGCATTTTACTGTATTCTCAATATCAACATGCAGCTTTTTGCAGTCTGACAGTGCAAAATACTAGCATTTTCTCCTCTCACATTAAATCTTCTTAAAAGATGCCAGGCAGCTCATTAGTGCATCCAGTTTATATGAGATCTATAATGAACCCTAGAACCTGATTTTGGTGGCTGATGCAATCTAAAATTTATAGCTGATGACTCTAGAGGAATGTAGGTATTGTAGGTATGCATAAAGACCTTCGGAGACTTGATATTGGTAGCAATGACCGTGCCAGTGCAACTAAGACATTAATTGCTGTCATTATTTGTTACAGGATTGTGGTTTGTAGGATGCTTTATGGTTGGTTTTCAGTATTATGGCTTTTAAGCAGCCATAAAATCCTTACATACTCATTTTGCAAATACGTGTGTACCACAAATACTGTAGCTTGCATCATAGCCTTCATGTACTCTTTTCCATGGCTTGATGTCTATAATGTAAATCAAACACATTGAAAACACATTATTTTTACTTTGTGTAACTTTAACACTGTTTCCATTGTTCCCCTGATTATTATGTTTAGGATATATTTGTGTTGTTACATGTTATACTGTTGCATTTGCAGTTCCTGCATCTGGTAATATGCGTTGTACCTTGTATCTGCAGTAACCTGGGAAGTTCATTTGAATTTTCCAGACAAGAGTTCATTGCCTGTTTGAAGAAATCAAGTTCAGTAGCTGTTAATGCAATTTTTCTTCTGTCTCCTTGCCGCTATTGTGAGGTGCTGCTTTATTTCCAGTGGCTGTTCTCTGTGAAGTCCCAGAGCATGTCTGTTTCCTCTCTCAGTAATTTCTGACTTCCTTTTATTGCTTTTGTTTTGTTTGTTTTTCAACTTCTGTAGTCTGCAAACCATGCTTGCTTAAATTACAAGGCATATCATTGAGCTTATCAAAGCAATCTTTTAGTGTGGTTCCTCAAATAAGTTCTGTTGGCACACTCAGGCTGCTGCTTTTCTAGTAATGCAGAGAGGATGCTCTATAAAGAGAACCTGCTGATGCTATGAACTGTCAATTCCAGACAGGCCTACCAAGTTAGTAATGGATGTGCATGTGTAATACAGCCCAGTGTTTCAGAGAGGCAAATGAATCTGAGCATGTCTTGAAAAGAATGGCTGTAAACTGGGAAACTACTGTCTTTCTTGTAGTGAGAGGCCCGAAATTGAACACAGTACTCAAGGTGCAGCCTCACCAATGCTGAGTACATGGAGATGATCACCTCCCCTGCTCCTGCTGGCCACACTATTTCTAATGCAGGCCAGGATGCCATTGGCCCTCTTGGCCATCTGTGCACACTGTCAGCTCATGTTCAGCTGAGCATCGACCAACACCCCCAGGTCCTTTTCCTCTTCACAGTCATCCAACCACTCATCCCCAAGCCTATATGCTGCATGGGGTTATTGTGGCCAAAATTCTTCATTGATTCAAAATGTTTTATAGTGATATATGTATAACTGCTTTGCTAGGAATTACTTGTTGATACTTATAGAAGCCTTGAGGGTATGGAGCATTCTGCAGCTGCTGGAGTTGGCTAGAGTCAGGAGTCTGATAAAAAACAGGGAGGGATACCATTGCCTCCATCACCCTTATTAGTTTTAACTGCAGTTAAAGAAGAAAGAATGCAATGAGAACAATAACACACAAAAAGTTACTTGTAAGATCTAGTGTAGTTTCCCTTAATCATCACTGCTGACAGCATAACAAATGCCTTCCTTACTTTTCAAGTCTTTGACCACCTCACTGATTTGTGACTGCTTTAACTGTGGGGTCTATTTGTCCACTTGTAGCACAGGGAGGGTGGGGGGAGCTTGGGCCATTTGACCTGGAGAAGATGCTGTAACTGAGCGCTTGGCTTGTCAGTGTATTTGAACACCTGGGGACAGGGCTGGTAAAGAACATGTCACGATGTTCTTCTCAGTGGTGCCCTGTGATGGCACAAGAGGCAATGAGCACCAGATGGAAACCAGAAAATTCCATTTCAACATCTGAAGGAGCTTCCCTGTGAGGCAAGTCAAGTCTGTGGAATCTTTATCTTTGGAGAAATCAAAAATCCAGCTAAATGCCATCCTGTGCAACAGATTTGCTGAGTTTTTAGGTCAGGTACTTTGGCCTCAAATTCTCATAGTACCCTGGGAGCCCCTTCACACAATTTGTTGTATTTTTTGCCACCCTCATCTCCTGTTGTGTTCACATAACTTCTGTTTATGTAGCATCCTACATATCTGACTTCATATTTACAGTGTCATGCTTGTTTGACTTCTGCTAGAACTCTAGAGACCATGCTGTCTGGTCCCAGTCATTCTGTAACATGTTTCTTTTTGTTTGTATATTGAGTACTACTGAAAAAAAAAGAAAGAAAAAAAAATTACAAGACCTCTCCGAGAAATATCTGTCGAAGAAAAGTCATTGTCTCTAAGGTCAGACACAGTTCTAGTAGGTGGAGACAGGAACATCTTCACATTCTCACTTTGGGAATGTGATGTGAAGTCAGTGTGCTTTGCTGCTGTTAGGTATGGTGGAGAACATAGGGAAAGTACTGTGTGTGTTCCTCTGCAATCAGAAATAAAGAGGAATTTTATTAAAATTATTTGGAGTTCTGAATTCTATGTAAGTCAAATCACGAGTGTCTCATGTGTACAAGCTGCAGGCTGCAGTCATGTAAATGACATTTAGAAAGACTGCTCCCTAGACTTTTGAGTAGCAGAACTATGAATTGCAGTTGAAACCTTTTATTTTTGAAGGATATTGGACTATGGCTCACCAGATACAAATCATATTGTCTTATCTGCGACATACATTTTTAATCAGCTTTAACTACAAAAAACTGCTAATTACTGTTGCAGTTTGCTATTGTCATAACCCAGAAAAATCCACAAAGATATGATATTTGTGGAAATATAAATCCAACAAATCAATTTTATTGCCGAATAGGAGCTAAACAGAGACAATGAATATTCTTGTGCTAGGATAAACGATTTAGGATTTCATATTATTCCCCCAGGTCACCATGATGGCAGGAGGTAATTTTCTGATGCTAATTTCATTTTCTCAGTACTCATAGACCTCGGTGAAACTGAAAAAATAAGTTATATAGTGATGTCTTTTGGTGGCCTTCATGTCAATAAAGAGTATATTTGTGCTTTTGTTTTCTGTGAGGAAGTGTTTCAACAACTCCTTCAAGGATACTTAGCTTACAGCTGCACTGCTGCATGTTTATTACCATTGCTGTAAACCAGGCATGTTCAACCCATGCCCCACATGCAGCCCAGCAAGGCTGGCAGTGCCAGTGTAACAGAAGCAGCTGTGGAGTGGCCCCAGGCATGTGCCCACCCCTCAGCAACAGCCAAACTGTCAGTAAAAATCAATGCATATTTGTGAGAGTATTTTCAGTCAATATAAATACATGACCTATAAATTTTCTGATTTATATATCTAAAAGTATATGTATGTATAGAGTTGCAATCAGATGTTTCACTCAAAACTTTGTGTCTTTTAACTGGACTTTCAAAATCCCTGTCTTAGCAGAGAAAAATATCCTTCCCTTCACGATCACACTTTTTTGTCATCACTTTCGTGCAGTTTTGAACAATTTTTGAACAATTATTTTCAAGGATGAAGTACAGGAAGAGTAAAATTTCATCAGAAATCTCCGATGAACACCATGAGACGTCACTAAGAATTACAGCCATCAACCCAGACTTGCGTGTTAGTTTAGCAAAAACAAGGCCGAATATCCCATGAGTTTTATGTTTTTGTTCCTCTCCTTTTTTTTAAACGTTTTAAGAAAAATATCTAATGTGTTTTATTACTTATATGTTAATGACATTGTATATTTTGTGAGGCTGCTCTGGAAGTAATGCCTCCTGTTTTATTATGTTGCCCCCAAGCTGTCAGAGGGGGATATTGGTATGGCAGTAGAGATTTAACATTCTCACCAATATTCTGCTACATTTCATTGCCTTGTGACAATTGGCAGCAGAGAGGCAGTCTGACAAAAAGGCATCTGACATGGGAGTACATATGAAGCAAAGGTTTGTCACTACAATCCATGCAGGTAAAATGTCACCCATTGACATTTGCTGAGTACTTATAGAGGCGAAACTGAATGTGAGCACAGTGAGGCAGTAGGTGGTGTTTCGACAGTGAATCAACTTCACTGGTGTAGGTTGTTGAGCATAGTATGTGGGCTCTTGTTCATTGCTGGTGGAAATGCACAGGTAACGGTGGTGACTATGTTGAAAAATAGTGTTTTGTAGTTGTGAAGTAGCTTTATCAAATAGTGTTATTGTGCTCTTTGTATAGGTTGTTGTTTCAATGGAAATAAATAGGAGGCATTACTTTTGGAGCAACTAACATCTATATGGCCTAAGACAATTTCTATTCACTAGATGCAGCCCAGGCCAGCCAAAAAGATTGGATACCCAAGCTGTAAACAGTTTCCAGAGCTTTTACCTTTGCATTTAAATTGAATAGGTCACATCTGGTAGTGTATCTCTAATTTCCAAGATTTGCACAGTATCTTTTACAAAATACATAATGTGTACAGATACACATATGTATAGCCCCACACTTTATTCTTTTGTAATCTTACTGACTCACTGATGGAACGACAGAGAAATTTGTTCAAAGAATAGTCAACACTGCTTCCCAGGCTGTCCCTGCTTTAACTGAAGGAAAAAACTTCATGCTCAGAATAACAAGAACTGAATTATTGCTTTATAATCTTTGCACAGACCTTTGATTTTGTTAGCAAGACCTGAAAGGCTGTTAATGTAGTCTATCTAGATTTCAGCAATGCCTTTGACAGTCTCCCACAAAACTATCCTGGAAAAGCTGGCAGCCTGTGGAGGAGCAGGGAAGTGATCATCCTCTTTGTATAATCAATGAATATTAAGATTATAATAATATAATGATATAACATAATTATAATTATGAAATAAACAAGAGAGTTTGACAAAGCAGACTATGATGATAAAAAGAGGATAAATAGAAGGCTTACCCCTATCCTGGGCTCACTCACAAAACACCAGCAGAGGCTACCTCCAGAAGAAACCCTTCCCCACTGGTAGCCAGCTCTTAAATAGGTCTAAGAGGGGTAGAACCAGGCTCCTCCCCTTCCAGCAGCACAGATGAATTGCTTTCACCTGTGCTCCTCTGGCTGACTCATGGCTCACCTCAGGTGATCAATCAGAGGTTCAGGCCGTGATTCAGCAGTTCCCATACACTCCACCCCTTCATGGCGTGAACCAATGATCAGGTTAACTAAAGGGTAAGCTTTCCCTAATACAGAGGTCCGCTATATCACAATGCTTATACAATTTTCATCGCGACGCGTGTTGGTACAATTCAGGACAAGTGATGATCAGTGAATGTCCATATTCTTCGATAAGCCAGTGCTCGATGATGTGAGTGGAGGCATGAGATCATGAGGTGCAGGTCCGTTCTATGTTCCATCAGTCCCATGCAGACCATCAGCGGGTGTTACAGGCGATCTGACAGCAACACTGGAATGCTTGATGGCATTTTGTTCCTTCCAGTGATCCTGAAGGCTCACAGGGGAGTAATACAGATGTTTCAGAGGTACCTGGAGAGGAAGGTCTGATCTCCAGGGCAAGATACAGGCCGTATTTCTATCCTGGGCCAACACTGGGGCACGTCCTGGCTGCCTGTACCACACCTTCTGGCCAGATGTCTGCAGCTGCATAATGATATCAAGCACCAAAGGAGGTGTCCTGATCTGCCACAGGGACATGATGGGGGTCCCTTTAGCAATAAAGATTGGAGTGTTGACCACAATATTAGTAGGCCATGTACCTATTACTGGAGGGACTACTGAGCCTCCGACCTCCAACAATCTCCCCCAAGGTAGGCCACACCACTTGGGTCCTACCTGCAACTTCCAGAGCCATTTTATTTTATGGGTACCCAGATCTAAATTCTCAGGGGCAGGGAGCAGAATATTATTTTCGTTCAATCTGGGGTCTTACCTGATGATCAGTGCCTGTAATTTGGATCCTAAGCGGAGTGGCCCATGTCGTCTGCAACATTCTCAGGGCACTGGGTCAGCCATCTCAAAGTCTTTCATTCAGGTCCCGCAGGGTTTCATACAGTCTTTTTGTCCATCCCTGCAGGGACTGGGAGTCTGTCTTCAGGGCAGCCTTAAGAATACCGTTATAACGTTCAATGAGGCCTGCCCCCGTTGGATTATACAGCAGGTGGAATCACCATTCGATGTTATTTTCTTCTGCCCAGTGCTGTATCGTTGCACCAGTAAAGTGAGTCCCTTGGTCACTCTCGATGACTTGAGGTGTCCTGTAGGCAGACATCAGTTTAGTGAGTGCCTTGATGGTATGTGCCCGGTTTGCTCTCAGTACTGGATAGGCCAGCAGCAGCCCACTTGCAGTGTTGACGCAGGTCAGGGCATATCTTGCCTCCTCAGAGTGAGGAAGGGGTCCAATGTAATCAACCTGCCATCACTGGAGAGGATTGTGTCCTCTAGCAAGATGGGCTGTTATTTCGGGCAACGATCTTGGTCTCATCTTGGAGCAAGTGTCGCAATCCTGGCATGCCTGGACGATATCAGATAGTTGTATGGGCAGTCGCCATGCTTTAGCAGTTGCCCACATTGTCTTTTGTCCAGCATGCCGTAGCTCCTGATGTAACCAGCGGGCGATGTTCTCAGATGGTGAATTCTCAATCCATCGAACTCAGGCCAGCGTGTCCGCTTCGTCATTTCCCTGTGACACAGGGGCTGATGACCAGAAACATGGTAGACACGTACAGTCCTGTGTTTGACCGTATTCCATATGTCTAACCACATGTCTTTGCCCCCAAATTGGTCGGGCGTGGGTAGTCCATTCCTGGGTGGCCCACTGTGCAATCCAGAGAGTGAGCCCGCAGTACACAGCCCAGCTATCTGTGCAGATGTTCAGGATACCATCACCGGGTTCCTTGGTTATAACCATCCACACGGCTCACAGTTCTGCCCATTGGCTGCTCTGACCATCCCCTTCATCAAACCAGATTGTCTCGGTGGAAGGATGGTACGCTATTGCTCTCCACTTGCTTGGGTTGCACTTGCTGGACCCATCTGTGTACCAGGCATCTTCAGTCCTCCTGAACAGGACTCTTCTCTGGTGGAGCGACCAGTATTTCTTTTGGTGCATCACTGTGATATGTCACTGGGCCTAGGATCTTCTGGAGTACTTCTTTCAAGGGTGATGAAGACAGACTACTTCTTTGGCTGAGATAGGCGACCCATTGTGCCACTGTTTGTGCTTGGGCCACCCCTGTCTTAGGAAGGTAGGTCAGATCTTTCACCCACCCCTGAATCAGCAGAGTGGTCTTGACTATTTTGCCGTTTGAGTTACTGGCTCTACTGCCTGTAATGCCAAATAGGCAGCCAATAACTGTTTTTCAATCATACTGTATCTTTCTTCTGCTCTGTGCCAAACCTGAGACCAGAAACCAATGGGGGTCCGAACAACTCTGACGTTGCCACAGGTCCCAACCGAAGCCGTCTTGAGTAACACAAATGTCCAACTCGGCTGGGAGGGTATGATCAAATATACCCAATGCCTGGGCTTGTTTAACTGCAAGTTTTGCTTGCTAGAAAGCATCCTGTTCCATTTTCCCCCAGTCCCATAGCTGCCCCTTTTTTGTGAGTCTGTATAGTGGCCTTAGCAGCTGCGCTAGGTGAAGTATAAAGGAACGCCAATAAGCCAATATACCTAGAAACTCTTGCAGCTGCTCCGATGTTGTAGGGACTGGGAATGCCTGAACCTTATCTATGACAGCACTGGGTAGCACTTTGGTCTTTCCTGACTAAACCACCCCAGGAATTTTACAGAGAGGCCTGGACCTTGCACCTTTTGGGGATTTATAGCCCATCCCCTCTGCTGTAAATAGGTGGTTAATGAATCTGCCACCTGTCCTACTGCCTCCAGTGAGTTTGGCAAAGCAGACTATGATAACAAAAAGAGGATAAATAGAAGGCTTACCCCTATCCTGGGCTCACTCACAAAACACCAGCAGAGGCTATCTCCCAAAGAGATGCTTCTCCACTGGCAGTCAGCTCTTAAACAGGTCTAGGAGGGGTAGAGCCTGGCTCCACCCGTTCCCAGCAGCACAGCTGAATTGCCTTCACCTGTGCTCCTCTGGCTGACTCATTGGTCGCCTCAGGTGATCAATCAGAGGTTCAGGCCATAACTCAGCAGTTCCCATACATCCTTGTAGACAGATCTGGTGGGGCTGCACCTGGAGTACTGTGTTCAGTTTGGAGTCCCTTACTCCAACAAAGACATGCAATTTAGGATATTTCCCTGAAGTTTGTGGCTGTATCAGTCTTGTGAATGTGAGTCAAACATACCAAGCATTTTTGGAGACCTCCTAGCTCAGGAGTTTCTGGAGGAGGATGCCTAAGCTCCTCTTGTAAACATAGCAGGAATCTTCTCTTACCTCTACTGAGGAGGAAAGGAACCATGCAGTAGCTGGGTAGTTAGCCAGCTTTACTGAGATAAGAGGCAATTCCTTCCCTCTTGTCATGGTTCTATGTTCTTGTTTTTTTTTATGGTTTCAGTATTCCACATCAAAACATCATGTAGTGCACGGGGCATTAAAGTGTCACTGCCCCAATCCCAGCTACCTATCCCTGTACATTACAGCAGTCACGGGATCTGGCCCTTCCGGGTGGGGGGAGCGCTCTCTTGCTGCCTGGCAGTGGATGCTGGAGGGTGTTTTCCTAGCCGTTCCAAGCTTTTCAGGTTTGACTCGGTCCCGGGAACTCTCTCTCTCATCTTGTCTGATTTATTCATCTCAATTTCAATTAAATTGTATATATTGTGTTATCTTGTATTCCAATATTATAGTAAAATAAGTTTTCCTCCATAGATTGTTGCCGCTGCTCTTTTCCTCCCTTCCTTCCTTCCCATTTTTGTGGGACTGGGGTGGGGGGGGAGGGCAGAGGCCTGCCGCCCCTGTCACGGACATAGATTGATCTGATCAACTCCGTGACAGATTTTGGCGCCCAACGTGGGGCACGAGCTGCTTTTTAGCTGTTAGAACGAATCTTTTTTTTCTCTCTGCTCTTAGAGAGCTTCGTTAGGGAGCATTATCAGTAGTTCAAGTGTCTGTGCTGAAAAACCTGACCTTGAAAGATTAGGCGTACTGCCAGTGTTCTGGGATATTTGTAAACTTTGAGCACTACTTAGTCTGGGTAGTGCCTTTTTTTCTTTTTTTTTTTTTCCCTGCTCTTGTTAGCTTCAATTCATTAACCCCTTTTTAGCAGCCACATCTGATGAACCCACTCGTTATCGTGGGGGCGCTGTGTAAAGGATTTAAAGCAATGGTGTTACTCACAACCTACTGGCCAATAATCCATCTTGCACTTACGTGTGTTGGAATTACAACCGTATATAGGTACCTAATGGCACTGATGGAGACACCTATGTTTCACCTACTTGCAATGTGGTATGATTTGAATTTTGACATTTACATCCCGGAAGGAATGGCTAATTTCACAAACAGCTACATCCCAAATGGAATGGCTAATTTCACAAACAGTTACATCCCAAATGGAATAGCTAATTTTACAAACAACACGATGTTCAGACCAGTCTCCGGTTTTTCTTCTCGGTTTGTCAAACGTTTTTTGAATCCTGAATTAATAGTCATGGTGGTGTGCGTGTCATCAATTCTCCTGAATGTATTCCAATTCATTTGTAATAAGGGGAAGGAGTCTCTTCCAAAACTAGAGAATGATGATTGGCAGGGAATTTGGAGAGGTTTAGGAAAGGTCTTAGAAGCATGGGGACCTGCAGTGTCATGGGATTTTACCCTTGAACACCTGTGGGATCCTGAGAAACTAAGCCAGTATTTGAGTCAAGGACTATGCGGCTTACATAAATCTAAGGAGGTACAACTTATTTGGGGTTTGGCTTGTGCTTACCGTGCCCTATATAACACCATTTTGGAGAGAGAGAGTTTCCGAGCTGAGGTTCAAGCTAAAGGGGAAAATCCCCAGGTCAAATCTAATCAATCACAGGAGACACCAGTAACAATACCAGTTGCTCCTGTGGAGGGCAAGAAATGGAAACGAGTGTCTTCGCGTCTTGAACGAAAAAGAGAAGAAGAGGAGGAGGAGGTGGAGGAAGATCCAGGCGAGGGGCCCTCCTCAGCACCACCACCATCGCGAAAGGCAAAAGGGAAAACTAAGAGACGTGCAGAAGAGAGTGATGAAGAGGAAGTCTCTATTACTACTCGCCGGCCTCTAAAGATGACTGAAATCCAAGGTTCAAGAAAGGAGTTTACACGGCGCCCGAATGAAACTCTTGTTTCCTGGTTGGTTCGCTGCTGGGACAGTGGGGCCCATAGCTTGTCTCTGGATGGTAATGAAGCTCGCCAACTCGGTGCCATTGCCAGAGATCCAGCTATTGATAGAGGAATTAGTCGATGTTCAGATGAGGCTGCCTCCCTCTGGGAACGAGTGTTAACAGCCGTGAAGGAAAAGTATCCCTTCAAAAATGGCTTGAAGATTGCAATGAAAAAATGGGATACAGTTGAAAAGGGTATCCAGTATTTGAGGGAAATAGGCGTGGTGGAAATGTTGTATGACCCTGACTTTGTTCCTAACGACCCACACCAAAACCGCGACCCTGAAAAAGTGAGGACAACGCCTGAGATATGGCAGAAAATTGTGACAACAGCGCCGGACAAATATGCCTCTACACTGATGTCAGCGTGTGACAGATTCAACGAACAACAGAGAACGCCCTTAGTTTATGAATTAATTGTTACGCTCCAAAACTACGAACAATTGCTGTCCCCAATTCATGCTGCCGTTGCTGCGATATCAAAAATGATGACGGAGCAAATGTCTCAACTGATTAACCGCGACAAACCTGTAGCAGTATCAGAAACGCTTGATGAAGATCAGGATAATCAAACAAGTCTAGCGAAGGATATGAAGGAGATGAAGGAGATGATGAAATGTATGCAAGCCCACCTAACTAAAGACAAAGAACCTTCCTTCTCACGTGCACCATCAAAGATCTCAGCTGTTAGAAGCAAACGCTCTCCAGCTCAAGTAAGGGGTAATACACCGCGAATTGCCTTATGGTATTACCTGCGTGACCATGGAGAAGACATGGGGAAGTGGCACGGTCAACCTACTCCTGTACTACGAGCCCGGGTGAAAGAATTACAAAGCAGATCAACCACCAGTGCAGTTGCTCCAGTTACCACAGGTAATGAATAGGGGGGCCCTGCCCTCAGTCAGGAGGGGGAAAGGGATAATAGAGTATATTGGACTGTGTGGATTCGATGGCCTGGCACATCAGAACCACTGAAATATAAGGCACTGGTGGACACTGGTGCACAGTGCACTCTGATGCCCTCGAGTCACCAAGGGACAGAGTTAATCCATATTTCTGGAGTGACCGGGGGCTCTCAGGAATTGACTGTGTTAGAGGCTGAGATAAGCCTCACTGGTAAGGACTGGCAAAAACATCCTATTGTGACGGGCCCAGGGGCTCCATGTATACTAGGTATTGATTATCTCAGAAGGGGGCATTTCAAGGACCCTAAGGGGTATCGATGGGCCTTTGGAATAGCTGCTGTGGACATAGACAACATTAAGCAGCTGTCTGTTCTGCCTGGCCTGTCAGAAGATCCATCTGTTGTGGGGCTGCTGCGAGTAAAAGAGCAACACGTACCGATTGCTACAAAAACGGTGCACAGGCGTCAGTACCGCACCAACAGGGATTCTTTGCTCCCCATTCATAAGTTAATTCGTCAACTAGAGAGCCAGGGAGTGATCAGCAAAACTCACTCGCCTTTTAACAGCCCCATATGGCCAGTGCGTAAAGCCAGTGGAGAATGGAGGCTGACGGTGGACTACCGTGGCCTGAATGAAGTCACACCCCCTCTGAGTGCTGCTGTGCCGGACATGTTAGAACTCCAATATGAACTGGAGTCAAAAGCAGCCAAATGGTATGCCACCATTGACATTGCTAATGCCTTCTTTTCCATTCCTTTGGCCAAAGAATGTAAGCCACAGTTTGCTTTCACCTGGAGAGGCATTCAGTATACCTGGAACCGTTTGCCCCAGGGGTGGAAACACAGCCCGACCATTTGCCATGGGCTGATCCAAACTGTATTGGAACAGGGCAGTGCTCCTGAGCACCTGCAGTACATTGATGACATCATTGTGTGGGGCGATACAGCAGAAGAAGTCTTTACAAAAGGAGAGCGAACGATCCAAATTCTTCTGAGTGCTGGCTTTGCTATTAAGCGAAGCAAAGTGAAAGGACCTGCCCAGGAGATTCAGTTCCTAGGTATAAAGTGGCAAGATGGCCGTCGTCACATCCCGACAGATGTGATCAACAAAATCACTGCCATGTCTCCACCCACTAGCAAAAGAGAGACACAATCTTTTCTGGGTGCAGTGGGCTTTTGGAGAATGCATGTTCCAAACTACAGCCTCATTGTAAGCCCCCTTTATCATGTGACACGAATGAGAAATGAGTTTACATGGGGCCCTGAGCAGCAGCAGGCTTTTGAACAGATCAAACAGGAGATAGCCCGTGCTGTGGCCCTAGGGCCAGTACGGACGGGACAGGGTATAAAGAACATCCTCTATACCGCTGCCGGAGAGAACGGTCCCACTTGGAGTTTGTGGCAAAGAGCCTCGGGAGAGACTCGAGGCCGACCCCTGGGATTCTGGAGTCGGGCGTACAGAGGGTCTGAAGAGCGCTACACTCCAACTGAGAAGGAGATCTTAGCTGCGTATGAGGGGGTTCGGGCTGCTTCCGAAGTAGTCGGTACTGAAACACAGCTTCTTCTGGCACCTCGACTGCCAGTGCTGAACTGGATGTTTAAAGGAAAGGTTCCCTCCACCCATCATGCCACTGATGCCACTTGGAGTAAGTGGATTGCACTGATTACACAACGAGCACGGATGGGGAACCTCAGCCGTCCAGGAATCCTAGAGGTCATCATGGACTGGCCTGAAAGTAAAAAGTTTGGAACACCACCTGGAGAAGAGGTAGCACGTGCTAAAGAGGCCCCACCATACAATGAACTACCAGAGAATGAAAAGAAATATGCCCTGTTCACAGATGGATCGTGTCGTATTGTGGGAAAGCATCGCAGATGGAAATCTGCTGTGTGGAGCCCCACACGACAAGTTGCAGAAGCCACTGAAGGGAAAGGAGAATCAAGCCAATTTGCAGAGGTAAAGGCTGTCCAACTGGCCTTGGATATTGCTGAACGGGAAAGGTGGCCAATGCTCTATCTTTATACTGACTCGTGGATGGTAGCGAATGCCTTATGGGGGTGGTTACAGCAGTGGGAGCAAAATAACTGGCAAAGAAGGGGTAAACCTATTTGGGCTGCTGAACTGTGGAAAGACATTGCTGCCCGAACAAAGACTATAGTTGTAAAGGTGCGTCATGTAGATGCTCATGTGCCCAAGAGTCGGGCTACTGAAGAACAGCAAAATAACCATCAGGTAGACCGAGCTGCCAGAATTGAGGTGGCTCAAATAGACCTGGACTGGCAGAACAAGGGTGAATTATTTCTGGCTCGGTGGGCCCATGAGACCTCAGGTCATCAAGGGAGAGATGCAACATACAAATGGGCTAGAGACCGAGGGGTGGACTTAACTATGGATGCCATTGCACAGGTTATTCATAACTGTGAAACATGTGCCATCATCAAACAAGCTAAGAGGATGAAACCTCTGTGGGAGGAAGGGCGATGGCAAAAGTACAAATACGGGGAGGCATGGCAGGTTGATTATATCACCTTGCCACGATCTCACAATGGTAAGCATTATGTGCTTACTATGGTGGAGGCAACCACTGGGTGGCTTGAAACATATGCAGTACCCCATGCTACCGCCCGAAACACCATACTGGGTCTCGAGAAACAAGTCCTGTGGCGACATGGCACCCCAGAAAGGATTGAGTCAGATAATGGGACTCATTTCAAAAATTCTCTTGTAAATACTTGGGCCAAAGATCATGGCATTGAGTGGATTTACCATATCCCCTACCATGCACCAGCCTCTGGTAAAATTGAACGATACAATGGATTGTTAAAAACGATGCTAAAAGCACTGGGTGGTGGAACATTTAAGCACTGGGAGAAGCATTTGGCAGAAGCCACCTGGTTAGTCAATACCAGAGGATCTATCAATCGTGATGGTCCCAACCAATCCAGTTCCCTACATACCGTAGAGGGAGATAAAGTCCCTGTTGTACATGTAAAGAACATGTTAGGAAAGGCAGTTTGGGTTCTTCCAGCTTCTGGAAAGGGCAAACCTCTCCGTGGTACAGTTTTTGCCCAGGGACCAGGATCCACTTGGTGGGTAATGCAGAAGAATGGGGATGTCCAATGTGTACCACAAGGAAACTTGATGCCGGGGGAGTGCAGTTACTAATTCTATGTATATGTATATAGTCATGTGTGCATTTTAATCATTTTTTTGTTTGTTTGTTTGTATATATGTATATATATATATATATATATATATTCTAAGCATGATGTAACGATGTAGAATAAGGGGTGGAATGTCATGGTTCTATGTTCTTGGTTTTTTTTATGGTTTCAGTATTCCACATCAAAACATCATGTAGTGCACGGGGCATTAAAGTGTCACTGCCCCAATCCCAGCTACCTATCCCTGTACATTACAGCAGTCACGGGATCTGGCCCTTCCGGGTGGGGGGAGCGCTCTCTTGCTGCCTGGCAGTGGATGCTGGAGGGTGTTTTCCTAGCCGTTCCAAGCTTTTCAGGTTTGACTCGGTCCCGGGAACTCTCTCTCTCATCTTGTCTGATTTATTCATCTCAATTTCAATTAAATTGTATATATTGTGTTATCTTGTATTCCAATATTATAGTAAAATAAGTTTTCCTCCATAGATTGTTGCCGCTGCTCTTTTCCTCCCTTCCTTCCTTCCCATTTTTGTGGGACTGGGGTGGGGGGGGAGGGCAGAGGCCTGCCGCCCCTGTCACGGACATAGATTGATCTGATCAACTCCGTGACACCTCTGCAATTTAACTCACTACTCAAAGGAGTAGGCTGTAGCTCGTTTAGGATAATTGGCAGCTGTTTTATTTTGTGTAATTACTTTTATGTTCAAGGAAGGGAAAGATGAGAGAATAACTTGTCTGTGTTACATGGAGGATGAACTGGTGATTACAGATTGGACTTCTTAGTCCTTGATGGCTAAAGTGAAGCATTATTAACTTCATGCAGATTGATCTTTCCAGTTGTTATAGATGAAGTGTTGCATGAAATGCAGCATTCCTACTAGCACTGTTCACACTTTGGCTCTCTGGGGAGCACTGACCAGACTTCACCCTGTGAATGTGCATTTGGAAGGATGCTTCCCACTGTCCTGAAGAGAACTGGGCATCGGGCTGCCCGTATGCAGGCACTGACACAGCGTTTTTGGGCACCTGGTAACTTCTGTGCTGGAAAGTGAAGCATCTCTGGGGTTTTGTTTTTATTGATTAAAAAGAAAATGCAAAGCTATAATAAAATTATACAGAAAGTTTGTTGTACAGAAAGTTGTTGAGAGCACCAGTGGTTACTAATACCTGGTCTTGTCACCTCATTCACATTAGTAGCTCTCTGAGAAAAGTGCTTCATGTGGCTTGCTTGAATGAGAGACACTTTCTAGGAATATGCCTTTGACATTGTCAGAAGGATCTGCTTCCCAGTTCTCCATATAATGCAGCTGTGTACAACATTGCTGCTCTTTAGTCATGTAAGTAGTATCTGCTTATTTTAATTTGTCTTTATGGAACTAACTGTGGCTGGAAGAAGAGCAGTTTGTCTTTGGCAATAAGGGCAGTTTCAGAGCAGATAAAAAAATATTTTGTTAATGAGGAATTCGTGAAAATAGATCCTTTGAACATTTTTAGCCCTGATGAAAAGAAAAATGCAATTGAAATCATGACTTGCTTTAGGTATGAGCAACCAGAGGGGTACAACACAACTGATACAGAAGAAAATGTGAAAGTTGCTTACTGAAGCTGGTGTTTAGTTCTTTATACCCATTATCTTCATTGCTTTGAACAGTAACCCTAACATACAAAAATTGAGTCAGAAATGTACAAAACTGCATCTTTCCTTCCAACCTTCCCAAACCTCTGCTTACAGGAAGGAAGTGTGAGAAATGCCCCAAAGGACAGAGGACACCCCTACTGCTATTGAATGCAGGGAGGATGTCAGTTT